GCAGTGTGATTTCTTTCTTACATTGTTTAAAATAAATAATCTGTTTGGAAAATGTTAACTCAGTAATCTTTCTGCGTTAACCCTGTCTTCCTCCCTTTCAGTATTTTAGTGACTGAATCCCTCAGCCTGGTGTTCAAGGCTGTCACAGCCTGCCATTCCTGCCTCCCCAGCCCCCCTCGTTGGAGCTCAGCTGACAACAATCCAAGTCAAAAGCCTACACAACTGATCTGCTTGTTGTACTTCTCAAGTACCCTGCCTTTCCAGTTTCAGCTTTTGTTCATACCATTTTGGCTCTAGTAGGATGGGCCAAGGAAATCATAAAGTAGCCTGACTGTTTTTGTGGCATATTTGGTTCTTCATTTGCACTCACAAATCTGCCGGCTCTAATGGATGTGCTCTCTCTGGAGGCTCCTTGGCTGGTGCACTTCTGGTCTCCAAGATCACCTGCAGGGAGAGTATGCGTTAACCGTTTTCACTCTGACTTGTAGCAGTTGAGTTAATAAAAAAGTTGGACACTATGTCCAGGGACTTAGTATTTTGCATCATGCTGAGAAGCATTATAATTTTCCTTGGTAGCATAGTTCATTTTACTTTTATTTTTATCTTTTTAGAAGATTCATTTACTTAAAGATTATTATTATCTAGCATTCAGGGTATTTTTAGAGGCTAATTAGGGAGGCAGGTCACCTTTGATGTAGTGAATGTTCTAAAAAATGCTCATGAAAGGCAAGTAAGAAGTGCTAATTTCGTGGATTAGACATTATCTCTCCCTTAGATTTTGAGGATTCCTTTGTCCTGGTATTTCAGAACATTTTATTTTCTTGGAATTCATGGAATGTTAGAAACACTTCTGATTATAGTTTATTAAAAAATAGCTGATAGATACAATTGTTAAAATAACTTATTGAGCATTTATTTTGTACAGAGTTAGGCTTATTTATATACATGATCTCATTTAATCACACAGTAACTCTGAGGTAAAAATTTATATTCCTTTTTTAAAGTATTAATGTTAATTCAGGTATAATTTACATATTGTAAGATGTACCCATTTAAAATGTACAGTTCAGTACACTCTGTCAGTTGTAAACACCTGAGTCACTCAACCATCGTCAAGATACAGAACATTTCCATCCCCCAGAGATATAGAATATTTCATTCCCTCTATAAGTCCGTCTCCTCCACCACCATCCCTGCAATCCCTGAGCCTTCTCTCTCAAACTATAGAACACTTTTCCCTGTTTTAGAACTTCATGTAAATGGAATCATATATGATATAAGTTTTTGGTGTCTGGTTTCTTTCATTCAGCATGATGTGTTTGAGGTTTGTCCATATTACTCCTTGTATCAGTACTTTGTTTCTTTTACTGCCACCCAGTATGACATTGTAAGGATATATGTGCCATAGTTTTTTGTATTCATTCATCTAATTCACTCAAAATGAGTTTTTACTGGATCTGAAACTGCCATTCCTGCAGGAATTGAGTTTCCAGGTTTTGGCTATTATGAATAAAGCTGCTATCATATTTTTGTACATGTCTTCTGTGGAGATATGTCTTAATTTTCTTGGGTACATTCCTAGGAGTGGTATTGCTGTGTCATAAGCTAAGTGTATGTTTATAAGTAATCGCTAACCTGTTTTCCAAAGTGGTTGTATTGTTTTATGTTCCTACTGGTAATTTATGAGATTTCTAGTTACTCTATATTTTTGCCAAATTGGGTATGGTTATTATTTTTTAATTATATCCATTCTAGTGGGTGTGTAGTGGTATCTCATTGTGGTTTTAATTTGCATTTTTATGTGCTGTTGGCTATCCGTCTTTTGTTGTGAAACGCCTGTTGACATCTTTTGCTCAACATTTTGATTGGATTATTGGGCTTTTTGTTGAGTTATAGGTAGTCTATAATTTACAGAGTCTAGAAAGAACTTACTTGTTATTTTGTCAATATTTTCTTCCAGTCTGTGGCTTCCCTTTTTAGTTTCTTAATGATGTCTTTCCAGGAGCAGAAGTTTTTAATAGTGATGAAGTCCAGCTTAACAAGTTTTTCTTTTATAGTTTATACTTTTGGCTTTTTGTTTAAGAAATCTTTGCCTATCTGAAGGTCTTGAAGATTTTCTCCTAGGAGTTTTATATTTTTACCTTTGACATTTTGGTCTATGATCCATTTTGAGTTAATTTTGACCACATATATGTTAACTAACCACTTAAGTGTGAGTCTGTTTCTGGACTTTACATTGTATTCCACTGATGTGTCGTCTGTCCTCATGTGCCTGTAGCACTGCTTCAATTCCTAAGCTTTAGAGTAAGTCTTTAAATTAGGTAATGTGAGTCCTACAACTTCTTTTTCAAAACTGTTTTGGCTGTCCTAGGTCCTTAGTATATCCACAGAGATTTTAGAATCATTTTGTCAGATGTCTGTAGAAGTCTTGCTGGAATTGCATTGAATCTGAAGATCAATTTGTAGAGAACTCACATCTTAATATCAAATGTTCCAGTAGATGAAAATGGTAGTCTCTCCATTATTAGATCTTCTTCGATTTTTTTCAGTGTCTTGTAGTTTTTCATGAACAGGTCTTGACAAATGTTCTTAAATTTGCCTCAAAATATTTTATATTTTTGAGGCTAATTTATAGCACATACAGGTTTCTTTGAATTTTAATTAAGTCTTTGTTGCTAATCTATTGAAATATCATGGATTTTAGTACCTTGACCTTGTATTGCTTCTGTGTCCTTAAATTCATTTATTAGTTCTAGGGGCGCCTGGGTGGCTCAGTTGGTTAAGCGACTGCCTTCGGCTCAGGTCATGATCCTGGAGTCCCGGATCGAGTCCCGGATCGAGTCCCGCATCGGGCTCCCTGCTCGGCGGGGAACCTGCTTCTCCCTCTGACCCTCCCCCATCTCGTGCTCTCTCTCTCTGTCTCATTCTCTCTCTCAAATAAATAAATAAAATCTTTAAAAAAAAAATTCACTTATTAGTTCTAGTAGCTTTTTTTGTAGGCTCCTTATGTATTTTCTTCAAAAACAATCATATCGCTTGTGAAAAAGACAGTTTTGCTTCTTCCTTTCCAACCTGTAGGATTTATATTTCTTATTTTTACTTTACTGTACTGAATGGGCTCTCCAGCATGGTATTGAGTAGAAGTGATGAAGTCAGACATCCTTGCCTTATTTCCAGCCTTAATGGGAAGGTGTTTAGCGTTTCATCACTAAGCACAATTGTCAACTGTAGTTTCCCTTTATCAGTTTGAGAAAGTTGCCATCTCTTTTAACATGCTGAGAGCTTTTATTATGAAAAGAATGTTAATATGTTAAGTGCTTTTTCTATTAGGATGACCACATGGTTTATCTCTTTTATTCTATTAATATGATAAGTAAACTGATTTTCAGATATTGAACCGTGTTGCATTCCTGGGATTAATCGCAGTCGATCATTATGTATTATCCTTCTTTTATGTTGCTGGATTTGGTTCATTCATATTCTTTTAAGGACGTTTGTATCTATATCTGATGCTGTTATTTCTGTACTTCTCTTGTAGTCCTTTGGTATCAGAAGGTACAAACTTCCAGTTATAAAATAAATACATCATGGGGATGTAATGTATAGCATGGTGACTATAGTTCTATACCGCCTATTTGAGAAAATACAAAGAGAAAGCCAGTAGTGGCTTGACCCTTCCCATTTCTCTTTTGATACCATTCACATTAATACCATTGGTAACAACCCCACCAAAACAAAACAAAACAAAACAAAACAAAACAAAAATCCTTGTTTTTCTTCTGCCTTTGGCTACAGGGTTAGGTTGTAAAAGGAAGGGAACAAAATGTTTTAGTAAGATCATGTCTTTAGTGATGGGGAATTAGAGCCATTAAAAAAACACAAACAACTTAACCAAAAATATGGCAAAAGACGAAGGTGGTGGCTAGAAGGCTTAGGACATTCCAGGGAGTTTTGTAGATTTGGGATTGCAGATGAAGACCAGATACATCTCATTTGTGAGGGGAGAATGAAGGACTAAGGGGAGGAAATAGAGTTAGCTTGAGCAAGAGAGAGAGAATTGTTTAAAAAAAAAATTCTTATGCAGTCTGAATAAAATTTATGTTCCCCCCCCGCCCCTCCGCCTTCCTGGGGCCTTAGAAATTAGAATCTGCATAGTACTGTCATGCCATGTGTTGGATAGTGGTGCTGTGAGCCTAAGTTGATGTGGTTGCATTCAGTGCATAGGAAAGTTACATACAACTCATCTCCAGTTAGTTCTTCTTTTGTACTTATGCCTAAACCTCTCCATCTGGACAAGTGCCAATTTGCCACTAAATTTAAATAAATAAGAACATTTCTCATCAATAGGGGTGGCAAATTTAGCCCCTCTTTAGAGCACTGAGCAATTTATGACCATATGTTAAATACCATAAAACAGCTTTAAAGACTTGGTCCCTGGCCATTGCCAGATTGCACCGTAGGAGTACAGCAGTGCTGCGAGGGGCTGGGAATGCTTCCTCCGGCCCTTGGAGGCCTCAGGAACTCACGGATGTCACAGCCAGAGAGGCCTGTTTTCAAACATTCCCTTTATAAAGGTGAAATACTAAAAGATTCCGTTTTGGCATTTGGGTGCAAAGAAGGCAGGACTTCTTTTTGATTCTTAAGGGTCAAAATTAATATGGAAAGTGTTGTGTGGGAGAATGAGTAACTTGGCAGCAGTGAGTCCAGAAGGCAAGTCTAGGAATAGGTAGTAGATATCCTACTCATTCTTTTTCTTGGAGCATGAACTGGACTTTTATAAGGCATAAGCAAACCAAATATCACATGTTTCTAAATTGTTTTCTTTTTGCCAACTTTTATGGCATTAATACTGATGTTAAAAATGGTTATTAAAATTTCATCCCGTAGCGCTGCCAGTTGTAAGGGTTTTTTTTCTTCTAGGAGGATGACTCATTATTTGGTGAACTCCAAATATTAGTTTTTTTCCTTACCATCATCACAGGCTGTGAATCATTTATGGCATCCAGTGGGCTCATGGCTGAGGGAATGAAGGGGTGTGCCAGCAAACGTGATTTTTGGTCAAGTCGTGCTGGAGGACCTCAGCTGGACACTTAGCCATGTTAAACCTCTCGTTCAGGCAGGGGGCAGTGTTATTAAATAGGAATGGCAGCGGAAAGCTTTGTACAAGATTTTTCTGACTGTTGTCTCTGAAGGATAACTTTTCCTACAAAGGAAGATGATGAAATTTGGCTGTCAGAGGTCCAGGATTCCTAGCCTTCTCGAATGTGTAAGTGCCAGCCCAAGGGCTGATTTCCTGTCACTTCCTGTGTGGTTTTGCACTACATCCTCTTTGCAGCAGATCAGTATTTTAGGTCATCTATCATAACTGCTGTCCTGTAAATTCTTGGCAATTTGATCTCAGTTTACAGAAGGCAGCCGGCATGTTTCTCTAGGAAATGTAGCTGGAGAGTCCTGTCTCCCACTTCCTAAGGCCAGGAAGTACACTATTGTTATTCGTCGCTGCTTTCTTCCTTTGAAAGAACAAAAATCTTCAAACTTTGGCAAATTCTGAAAGTGCCCGGTACGGTTTGAAATTACCCATTCCATTTTGTTGGTCTAGGGCAAAAACTTGAGTGACCTTTGACATCATTTGCAAATCTTGCCTGGTGTTCCCATAACACAGATATGTGTGTTAGTGTGAATTTCCCCCCCTACTGCAAATGAAGTCCTACTGAAGTCCTCAGAGGCACAGCAGGGTGTTTTGTTTTGTTTTGTTTCATTTCGTTTCATTTTGTTTCGGGGTTTTGATTTTCAAGGGTAGTTCTAGTTACTTAGGCCACGCTATTGCTTAGTTATTTCTTCTCTGTTTCTTTCCCTCACAGTGGGATTTTTCTCTCCCGGTCAGCAGCAGCCATTAAGACTTCACTTTGGGTATGGCTTGAGTATTTGCATTGGATTTTCAAACTGTATGGAACACAGGGATATTTAAGTCACATTTCTTTACTATTTAATATTAAGATAAAAGTGTCAGTTTAGTTTTTTCAAGTTACATGCCAGAGGGTGAACTGTGTTGTAGAATTTAGAGAGTGAGTGATTTTCCTTCCTTCGAATGACTCAGCAGTCACAATTTGGCGATTTTTTAAAAAAAGGTTTTCTTTATTTATTTGTCAGAGAGTGAGAGCATAAGCAGGGGAAGTGGCAGGCAGAGGGAGAGGCAGAAGCAGGCTCCCTGCTGAGCAGGGAGCCCGATGTGGGGTTGGATTCCAGGACCCTGGGATCACGACTTGAGCTGAAGGCAGATGCTCAACCGACTGAGCCACCCAGGGGTCCCAGCAATTTGATTTTATTTATGTAGTACAAGAATTGCCTTTAGCCCAGTTCAACTAGGAGAAGAACCCGTTTGTAAAGAGAATGCAAACTCATGCATGAGTTATTTTACATGGTACCCTTAACAGTCTCTTGTGGCGCAGATCGTTTCTGCTTCTGATTCTTTTTTCATCTTTGTAGAAACTCCACCTTTTGCGGGGTTCAACAACATCATTAGTGTTGGTTTCCTTTGTGTTCTGGTTCTTAAGATGATTGGAGGGCAAGGAAAGTTAAATTGTGCTGCTTTACAGAAAAAAAGTGAATGCCATGAAGACGGATTTGATGTCAGATCTGCGGACATGAGGTGGTATCATCAGAGAAGCAGCCCAAATCCTGCTAGTGCACCGAGGATGGCACGAAGGAAGACATTTGGATTAAGACATGGGAGAATTTGATATCCAGACTATTTGTATCAAATCAAATCTGTAGTTCCTGAGATAATATGTTGTTAAACTCTAGGGGTGGAAACCCCTTTGATCTCTAAGGTCTGTATGACCCATGAAGTAGTTGATCAGGAAATGTTTGTTTATTAAATGAGTGAAATCAGGGCACTTAACAGATTGTCTTGTGTGGAAAGTCTTAATTGGAAGGAAACTAATTTTTGTGACCTTTCAGTGGGACGAGGGGGTATCTAAAGATCTGAGAAAGAGCACCATAGTTTCCTTATTGGAGAAAGGGAAAGAGAACTATGAAAGCTTATATACATCAACCAGGTTGATACGCCTATTTAGAAAGAACCCAGAAAAAGACTCACAAATGTAGTTTACCAACAGTTGGGCTGGAATAGGCCTAACCAATTTTACTTTGTAAAGAACAACTCTTAATACATGAATGTCTTATTATAGAATGATGAATATAGTACTAACTTGGGAAGAAAAGAATAAAGTTGAATCTATCCTGAGAGTAGCAGGGCTTTTGATTCTGTCTTTGAGATGGATCCAGGAAGCAGATCATGAAATGATTAGTTAGACATAAAATGTGTCGCTTGGCAGTATGCCCGAAGTCTCATAACTGAAGAATGAATGCTACTTAATGTCGAAATCAGAGAATTTGGTCATCTTAACGTAGAGCCTCTGTGGAGCAATTGTTTCTTCTCTGGTTATTTATTTATTTTTATTGTTCTTATCCTCGTGTTTTTCTTTCCTGTAATTTCACCGTACTTGGGTAAGACAAGTTCCAGGCAATTGTACTCAAACATCAGATTTTTTTACCTGCTTTCACAGAGTTGGCCATCTCCTGTAGAAAGGAAAGGAAAGAATCCACAAATGTCAGAACGCTTTTGCTTCTCCACCCCAGCTGTCCAGTCGTGGAGCACCTACCTCCCCAGTCCAGATCCTGAAGCACCTCCATTGTTTGGCACTATCATAACCCTTCCAGCGTTCTCTCTTCTCCTGAACCAGATTATTTTTTGACAGTCTGTCCCTAACCTTTGTTTTCAACTCTGCTGTTCTCCCTTCTGAACATCTTGTTCCTATCAGTGTCGTCTGCTCATCATTCCTGGGGCACATGATTTTCTGCTCCCTCAGTTTTGCTAATTCTTTTACCCTTGCCTGTAATTACCTTCTCATGTTTCTTTATCTCAGCCTACTACAGGCAGCACGGAGAGTGGACATTTTAAGAGAGGATTAGACAGAGCATGATTTTAGATGAAGTGTTCAGTGAAGTAGGAGACTGTGGTGGATTGTCCAGAGGTGGCCACAACCAAATCTCCTGTCCCACATGCTCTTCTGTACTGAGTGTGACCCTGCCACTCCTCCTTCAGGGATTGGAGTATAGTTTTCCTCCCCTTGATTCTGGGTGGGCTTGTGACCATTTTGACCAGTGGCGTGTGATGCACGTCCTGTTGCGTGACTTCTGAGGCTGTATAGCTTCTGACTTCTCAGCAGGAATACTTGTTTGTGCTGGGAGCCCCGAGCTCTGCATAAGAATATGTCTGACTGAGGCACCTGGGTGACTCAGTCAGTTAAGCATCTGCCTTGGGCTCAGGTCCCGATCCTGGTCCTGGGATCGAGCCCCGTGTCGGGCTCCCTGCTCAGTGGGGAGCCTGCTTCTCCCTCTTCCATTACCCCTCCCCCGCTCATGCTTGCTCTCTCTCTCTCTCTTTCTCTCTCTCACTCTCTCAAATAAATAAATAAAATCTTAAAAAAAAAAAAAAGAGTATGTCTGACTACTGTGAGGTTGCCATGCTGCCAGGTAGCTGCGCCACATGGAGAGGCTACTTGGAGGCATGCAGTTGGCAGTTTTGGGCTTTGAGTTACCCAGCTACCGGACACGTGAGTGGAACAGTATTGAACTCTGTCCACCGGCTGAATACCACTTAGTGATCTCAGTCGGTGCTACGAGGGGCAAAAGAATCACCCATCTGTACTCTGCCTGTATTTCTAACCCACGGAATCTGGGAATATAATAAAATGGTTGTTTTAAACCTCTCAGTTTGGGGGTAGTTTGTTAGGTAGCATTAGTAATTAGAACATAGTCACTGGAGGGACGCCTAGGTGGCTCAGTTGGTTAAGCGGCTGCCTTCGGCCCGGGTCATGATCCTAGGGTCCTGGGATCGAGTCCCACATCGGGCTCCTTGCTCAGCAGGGAGCCTGCTTCTCCCTCTCTCTCCCTCTGCTTGTGCTCCCTCTGTCAAATAAATAAAAATCTTTAAAAA